ACAGCCATTATCTTGCTGTAGTCTCAAGTAAACATACTAAATTGCCGATGTCCCAAGTTTCCTTCTTTTGCAATATTGGAGTATTACAATGTAGTAACTTTGTATATGACCAACTAATGATAATATTCTAACAAACATCTTTTAGCTGATCACAAACCAAAATACTCTTTCATAGCTTTTTCCTGTATTCTTGTGTACATAAGGGTATAGTGACAATCCAAGGAATGAGAGAACGCTTAGAAGAGGGTTTAAAATTGTTATGACCTAATGTTTTTCTTATTAACAACAATGATTTAAAGTAAGAAAAGTTCAAACACCTTTTGGATGGAAGCTTGATTCTTTAAAATATTTTGTCGAGCATAAAGGAGTCTAGGAGAAAACCAAAATCAAAGATGAATGACAACGAAAATTGCCACAGTTTAATTTCGGAACACTATCTGAAAATAAAAGCAGAGCAAAGTAGGTAAAGAACCCAATTCGATGTTTCAAATTCAACAGGGTTAATTTTATACTTGGAAATTTGCTCTCCAATAATATTCTATGCAACCCTGTAAATAGCTTGTTTATACAAAATAGTTTGGCACAAGCTAGTTACTATGAAAAGAAAATTCAAAATACTTTTCATTTCTTGTCCAGATAAGGACTCGTGCTCAAGCAATTCATTGAGCCAGTCCAACTTCAGCGACACATAGAGAAAATAATTATATATACATAACTAAGCAACTCTAAAAATGCAGGTTAAACATGTAGCTGAATACGTACACGGTCATTATTCGTACAGTAAATCCAAACAAAAATTTCAGGAAGTAATTGCTGCAAGCTTTGAGAATATTGCTCGACCAATGGACGAATAACAGGGTCTTGATAGAGTAAAATAAAACCCATTAGTTGTTTTCAAAGGTGTTGATTGTGTAAAATAGAAAACATAATCTCTTGCCGCTGATAAACGTGCAGAAGTGACTTTTTTTTATCGACATTGAAAAGAAGAATCAGATTTTTGTATCATACTCAATAGGCAAAAAAGATTATATTTCCCAATATACCTAATATGTTTGTCATTGCAAGTGGTGATTCCCTATGGGAATCAAAAAGTCTTTACGTATAGTCTGTGGCCATTCATGTTTTCCTAACACATCTCATGACCAATCAAATTATCAGCAATACAGATAATAGTCAAGCATATGAATTAGATGCCTATAAGGCAACATCTTCTAGAATCACAAAGTTACCTCACCTGCTCCCCGGCCTAACCCCTCTTCCACTACCTTGGATTGGTGTTATCACAACAAACATGTTACCTATACCCAGTAAAGGATGCAAAATAGTTGTCATTACATTCTAAGATATCTCAGATCATAAATTTATTTTTCCTTAAGAAGATCATCAAATGGTATTACAGTTGGAATAGTTAAACCATACAACTTAGTTTTGGATTACTTAAAAGTTCAAACACTATGACACCAACTAATGATACACAAAGCCTAGGTACTGGAAAAGCCAAACTGAGCAATGCACAATGACAAGCATCAAGCAGGTATAGCAAGTCAAATTGATGCACACAGAAGAATGATTAGCTAATTTACACTATAGAAGGTCTGAGCAACTACCTGTCCACCGTATGCTAAATTATTCACAATCGATTCAACCGAAGGCTTCTGCATATTAGTAATTCAAGAAGAATAGCTAACGTTGATAAGGCTTTTGTTCTCAGTATTCATAAAGAAAAGTGCAGTTCCAATAAGGAGTTCGTGATCCAAGTTCAGCATTGAAATTGTTATCTGACTACTAATTCACCTGAGTTGTGGTCAGCAACATCACAAAGATATGTTGATTTTTTAAAATCTTTTTCAGCTTTAGTTTGCAGTCCTCGCCTAGCTGCTTTATATAATCTATATGTTTTACACAGTCAGAGGGAAGAAAATAAAATTTAATAAGACATCAAGAGTGCTATCTACTGGTGGTCATAGTAAAATTCCAGGGAAATAAGTACTCTATGTTCTGTTTGTCTTACAAAATCATTTCCTGAACTAAGGTGAAAACCTTTCAGTTGTTAAATTCCAAAAAGCTTATTTCATCAAAATTTTCGCACATAAATAGTACAGACGCTGGTGAGGATGAGAATTGCCTGATAAGGACCTGTTGGAATCAAGTCTTATTGCACTTTGATAGAGTTTAAATAGACGAAAATTAAGATTAAAGCATTAACGGATTGAAGACGCAAAGTAGAGAATGTAAGAAAATATCAGAAAAATGTGTACACGGGATAATAAGAGAGGGAAAGAGCAAAGGACCTCCGGAAGAATCGTATGTCTAAGACATCAGTCGCCTGCTTTCTTAATGATTTGATCGTAAACGATATTAGAGGTAGAATGATCGTCATGGCTAGTTGGTGTAGATGGTCGGATCAAAAATTTCACATAATTTGAACTCTTTGCTCTTGATAAGGCAACGTAAAGCTGACCGTGTGAAAATACAGGTTCCCGCAAATAAATTCCAACAAAATCTAAAGTTTGACCTTGTTCTTTTGTTTATAGTAAGCATAATCTAACAGGAAATTGCGTTCTTTTGAGCTGAACAGACGTTTTCTCATCTTGTGATGATAGTAATGGTATTCTTGGGATAAACACATGCATATTCTTAATTCTTGAAATCACCTAATGTGATCTTAGAGCTAATAGCATGACTTTTAAAATCACAACAGGTCAATCGCGTGCCATTACATAAACCTTCACATGGATTTAGAATTCGTAATAATATAATTGGACAATTCTCTTTTAAACATAATTTGTAAGGAGGCAAACTAGGAGGATTTAAAGTGTGTAGTGGATCTTCTTGTGTTTGATTGTTAAATTCAATAACCTCATCGGTGGAAATAAATATTTTTTATTTTCCTGCGAATCGATCAATAAGCTTGTCATTAATTTCATCAACGAAAATATTTGTTGTTGTCAAGATCACACGGAAATCTACACAGGATGAATTAGAATATAACGAATCCAAATTTGAATGTCGCTGTGAATAATTTATCAAGATATTCTCTTTCGGTTGTATAAGGAATAATCAAAGAATCTGGAATTTCAATCTTGTCCGCTGAATTGACTCGTTCTTGTCCAGTTCCAATTCTTAGCAAATAATCACAAAATGCAGGATCTGTTTTAGCTCTCATATTCTCATATAACTTTAATTTTTCAAGTAATGCTAGAATATAACAAACTTTCGCCAATGAAATCTTCTTCTTTTTTTCGTATCGCACAATAGGAAGAGTTTGTCTGAAATCACCTCCTAAAACTATAACTTTTCCACCAAATAATGCATTTGTATTCATCAGATCTTATAACAGTAGATCAAAAACTTCTAACATTCTTTTTTTGGCCATAGATACCTTATCCCACACAATCAATTTTGCATCTCGGATTAACCTTGCAAGTGAGCTTTCTTTGCTAATGTCGTCTTCACTAACAATAATAGATCTTTCAAAATGTATCTCTTTTGCTTCTTTTGCTGCCGTAGAAGGCCTAATAGTTTCTGGAATGAGTTCATATTCATTTATATCATGATCCATAGAATGTAAAATATCATTGATATGATTCAAAGCTTGATATCGAATTTCTCTTCTGTTAGTAATTTGTAACACTTTGTAGTCTTCGATCATTGATTCTTCAAATTGCTCCCATAATTTTCTGGGGTTGGCAGGGTTGCAACAGACCAATAATATAGCAAATAAATGCCTTAAACTATATGGCATTTGGTAACTTGCGGCTTCATACATACACTCTATCAAACTATTATCACAGTGTAACAATCCTCTTTTCTCTATGGACTCTGTGAAAGTACTACAAGGCTCTCCATTCACTGTCAAAAGATCCTTATATGATGTCGGTCCTCATACATGCATTAGTAGTAATCAAAGATAATATCGTTCTCCTTCTATTAGATGATATGTCACAATGCGGCCAACAACACAACGTTTTTATCTACGTGCCCAAAATTTGTCACTGGAGGACCACAAAAAGTATTTAGGAAATTCTTTATATAGTAAATTGAGCTCTTTAGCATCTTCATTAGTTTCATTCAACAACAACAACAATAACAATCTTACTAGTGTGGTTTGTGGAGGGTAGTGTGTACGCAGACCTTACCTATACTCTGGGTTAGAGGCTGTTTTCGATAGACTCTCGGCTCCCTCCCTCCAAGAACTCCCCACCTTGCTCTTGGGGTGACTCGAACTCACAACCTCTTGATTGGAAGTGGAGAGTGCTTACCACTAGAGCAACTCACTCTTGTCTAACAGTGTTTGGAGAAGAATTATGTTAACATTGTTTTTTGAATGATCGGATTATTCACAATTGTATGTATATCCACATTGCTCTTAAAAGAAATAAATTGTTGACCTTCAAGATGTAGTTGAAGACGATAAACGCATTTCACTTATTGGAAAACCAAAGAAACGCCAAACAACTTCTGGAGGTATACCCATCTAGCATATCGATATTCTTTTGTCTCATCTATTTCTGTGTTTGTATTATTATTTTGTACACATAATGCAATCTTATCATGTCCTTTATAAATGTATTTGTAGAGATATTTCATGACTTTGATGTCAGAGCAAACTTCAACATTTATATGACAATTGAATTTCCCAAGTAAATATGGATTGTACGGAACAACCTAGGAGTTATCTAAATATTGTTCTCTTACTTTCACAACTTCCCCTGTATTTCGTCTTCTATACACTTGATAAGAATCGTTTCCTTTTATTGTCTGATCGACAAATATTTTTGGATATTTGAACTTGCAATAACCCTTTTTTTTCATACAAGAATTTGTTGGGTCTAAACTATCGCAAGGACCGTGCATCATATGTTTAATGACAAGCTTACGCAAATCTGATTCTATCTTATCATCTGGTAATTCTGCTCTAATAATATCATCCTGCGCATCCGCTATCACAATTTGTGCTAATTACCTAGTATAATAAGAAAATGAGCATGGGGTAAACCTCATTTCTGAAACTCCACACTGTACATAAAAGAAACAACTTTTCCAAAGATATTTCGTTTTAATATATCCGTCTTCAGTTCTTCTATTTTAGCCCTGAACACTCGAGTAATCAAATCAGGTCTATCTTGTGCCTTGTCAGTTGACCACAGATGTTCTTTTATTTCAGTCCAAGATGGGCTACATGTCATAGTTATAAACAAATCAGGTTTTCTGAAATGTTGCACTAATGCAATAGCATCCATATAACGCTGACGCATATCTCTAGGACCTCCTATAAAACAATTTGGCAAAAAATTTTGTTTTCCAACATTAGAAGCATCTCGTTCACCAAGTCTTAGAATATCAAGAAGTCCTTGCAGTATACCCATTCTGAATAAATCTTGATTGAATGAAACAAAGTCTAATCTTTGTGTCTCTAATTTTATATATTCATCAACTGAATACTGCTGGAGTAATCTTCCTGTATGCAAAATTTCATCTTCATCATCATTTCTCATCTGAAGTTTGTAACAGTAGTATTCGCGAACTGGAACTGCATCTCTTTTGTGTTTTCCTTTTTGCAGATTTTGAGCTTCCATATCAAGATATCCATCAACATATGTGAAATTTTTTATATTCGGCAATTGTTCAAATTCAACCAGAGTACTACTTCTACGAATATATTTTGCTTTGGGGAACTTTTTAATACCACAATGCCACCCCCCTTGACCATATGGAAATAACAACGGGTACTGTAAAGGGTCATAGCATCCAAAATGGTAGTTTACTCTTTGTGTCCTGTCACTGTGAGTATAAATTTGAAGGTGCGGTGCATGAGTAGGAGAACCATCATTTTCATCAACCCATATTGCTGCAATTTCAGCAGTAGTAGGTAAATTATATAAACGTTGATCCAATCCAGCATCACTTTTCAGTGCTATATGAAAGTTTTGCAAGTGTCTGCCAAGGATCATAGAAATATTGAGTACGGATTATCCTTTAGTATGTCCATCAATTCTTTCAATGTTGATGCATTTAATTTGTCTGAACAGGCCATTCTATTTCCAAGCTCATTTGCATTATCATAAAAGTATAGTTGCAAATTTCTTAGTCTTTTTTCTCTGGGATACAAATCATCTATCAAATGATACATCTGTCCTTGAACTCTGAACGTATAGATACTACGGTTTCTCTTGGCTAAATCTTTATCATAACTGACACCAAGTGATGTAAAATCAAACAGATTATTATATGTTCTAATATACGTTCGGAAATGCTTGGATCCTGCATTGTTTCCCATATATAAATTTTTCAGTTTAGCTGGTATTGGAAGAGAGCTTAACTTCAATGTACCACTGCTACAACAAAATGCAGTTCTAGGTGTGTAACAACTACAATTGCTATAACAGGCAAACAAAACTGTCAAAAAACGAAATTTGACTAGTACATTACAATCTTGTCATTATATGTTTAATTTTCACACGGAATTTTAATCATTTTTTGAGCTGCCTCGTAAAGAGTATTTTTACGGGACAAAGAGCTTATAGTACGAAGTAATATTTGTTTGTATAAATAATCGTTGTAGTTTAATGCTTAATTATTGCTGAAATGCAATTATCTTTGTCCTATAATTTATCTAATTCTCAACGTTTAAAGACAAGTTCTTGAATTCCCTCTATGATTTGTTAGCTTCTGCTACATCACTTCTAGTTGCTCTCCTCCATAAACCGAACAAAGGGAAGGAAATTTCCTGTTTAATTTTCTCTTGCTTTCGTCCATTATAGCAAACAAGATGTCAATTCAACCAAACGCATAAATAATCATGCGATTGTTTAGACTTATGTGAGGATTTTTTACACTATGAGTATAGATTTAACATATGATAGAATGTTAGTTATATTTATAAAGATTTAATTGTAATTATTTTTATATAGGACTTGAATATTGCAGAAGTGTCAAATGGTAGGGTTGGACTGATTTGGACGGGTTAAAAGGAGCTTAGTCAATAAAGACCCGTCCAAAAACTAAAATGGGCTGGATCAAGATGGACTAAAATTATGGTCATAGCCCAACCCACCCAACTCTTACCAAGCTTTAATTATTTATGTGTTTTCTTATAATTTTTTAATAACCAAATAAGATATTTTTTTTCTTTCTTATGGTCATATATAACATATTAAACAAAAAAGAATTATTTTAAAGATATTTTAGCAAAGTTGCTTATGGATCAATTTGGGTTAAAAATCAGTCCAACTTTAGATGGGCTCACATGAGTTGGGTCAAGATGGGCTGGGTTCAACAATGTAAAAATAGCACGGGCTAGCCAGTTTTCGGACTGGTAATTGAAAAATAGCTAGCGTTTGCAAAGTCATTGAAAAATAGCTAATATTTTTCTACAACACGAAAAGTTCCAGCCTAATATACTGGAGATTGGTGCACCTGTGTATAAACTTCCAGCATTTTATGCTGGAACTCCAGCACACGGAAAGTTCCAGTATAATATACTGGAGATTGGAGCACATGTTTATGAACTTCCAGCATATTATGCTGGACCAGTATATTATGCTAGAACTCCAGTATATTATGATGGAGTTCCAGCATAATGTACTGGAACTCCAGTATATTATGATGGAGTTCCAGCATAATGTACTGGAACTCCAGTATATTATGCTGGAAGTTCACATGTAAAAAGATTGAACTTCAGTATATTATGCTAGAATATTTTTCGGATTTTGAACAGTGTTTTCGTTCAGATTTATCTTTACATGAAAAGTGGCTAAATTTCGAATACTTTTGAAACTGTAGCTATTTTTTAATTACCACATGTAAATCTGACTATTTTTTAATTTCACCTTTCAATAATGGGCTGGTCAATGAGCAGCCTAACCTTGGGCGGGTTAGGCGGCGCTGAATGCGTTTGGGCTTAAATTGCCTCCCTACTTGATTGTATAAATACCTTTTATGTTGTGAGGTGCACATAACTTAATTATTTCATGAAATATGCATAGAATCCTTACTTAAGGAAACTAGAAAGAACAACACTTTCTACTACTGATGGACATACATAGTACTCCTATGACTTAATTAGACAGCCATTACTAAAGTTAAATTCCATAGCTGAAAAAGTTAAAGAACTAATTAAGCTCGCAATAACATGGCATTGACAGAAAGAATCATCAAAAGACAATAGCAAAGTAGTTGCCAAGAATTTCCAAAACAAAGAAACAAAAATAACAACTTTGAATAAAAAGAAACAAACACATTACATGCTAGCACATTGTTAGCCAGTGCCTCCAAGAACACCCTTGAGTTTCTTGATTTGAGCTTCGTCAAGAAATGTTGTAGCCTCAACCAACTTAGTAGACAAATCGTTGGCAAACAACGCGAAATCGGTTATCTGAAGGCCAGGACTGGAGCTGCTAAAGAACACATAAGCTACAGAAGTATAACCAGCTGCATTCACTTGAAAATGCAACAAACCTTGTGGAAATACCATAAGTTCACCTTTCTTTAGTGTCTTTAAGTAAACAGTGTTTGCTGAGGAAACAAAAGCCGCAGTAATCGATCCCTGGACGACGAGCAAGACTTCAGAAGCACCAGGGTGAGTGTGAAATGGGACTACACCACCAGAGGCTAAGTCGAGACGTGCTGCAGAGAGACCGAGACCATTTAAGCCGGGGAATTGAGCTGCAAATGCTGGTGTTACTGATGCTTTGATTATATTTGATGTGTTTCCTGCTGCACTTAGGCCAGAGAAAACGAAATCGTTTACTGTGACTTTTGTAGCAGTTTTGCAAGAATAGCCTGCAGGGGATTCTGGTCCTTTTAGGTCTGCTACACAGAAATCTTGTACAGCAGCATTGCTGCTTGATATCAGGAGAGCAAAAAGAAAGAGGAGTTTGAACATTTTCACTAGCTAGGAATGAGTTGTATGTGAAAATCTGTTATCAAAACTTCTTGGAATAATGTATATATAGGGAGTCAAGTGAGTGAATGACTGACTGAAAGGGAGCTTTGGTGTAACTGGTAAAGTTGCTGACATGTAACCTCTAGGAGGTCACGGGTTCGAGCTGTGGAAACAGCCTCTTGCAGAAATGCAGGGTAAGGCTGCGCACAATAGACCCTTGTGGTCCGGCCCTTTTCTAGACCCTTCGCATAGCGGGAGTTTGGTGCACCGGGCTGCCATTTTTAAGTGAGTGAGTGAGTGAAATTTTTGGACATTACAGAGGAAGGTGCTACTTGATTTTAGATAGGAAACGATAACCACTAATTGCGTGATATGGCCTTTCATGAAAGTTGTCTGTTGAAAAGGTGAATAGACCACAAAACAGATAGAACAAGATACATTTATTGATCTGCGGAGGTATTGTATTGGGATATCTTGGTTTCTATTTTTGACAGCAGTTGAATACTAAAATAGAATCATGTCTTGGTGGATTGATAAAGCTATATTTATTCCGTGCAATATGTGTTAGAATCAAAATAATTAAGTGTTATGTGAAGCTAATAAAGCAAGCTCTAAATGATAATAACACGTACACGTTTATTTTTCACTCTGACTTATTTTTCAGTTGGACAAGTTGAAAATAGGCATGCTTAGATCACATTGCATGTAATTTTCATGCTACACATCCATACTTGATCAGTGTCATTTGGTTATGTTAGTATTTGTGATCAAGGAAGGTTTAGTTGCGATAAATGTAACAAAAGCCGCCTTGGTCCAATATTGGCATGATTAATGGACAAGATTGTTTTGAGGTATTTCAGATTGTGATAGCAAATATTTTGAGCTCATAAGGTGATATACAATTACAAAGGTATATATACATATATATGTGTAGTCCAAGCGGGAGATTGTTAGAATTTATGGACTTGCACATATATTGTATTAAGAATAATTGTGTGTTGGTTACTATCACTATAAGGTTGACCTAAATTAAAGTGATCTACTATGGTTTAAAGTTAAAAGAGCCAAAAGGATACCTTATAAAGTATGAGGTCTTATGTGTAGATACCCGGATGTTATTTCTAGTTTAATGATGGCTAAATTAGAAATACATAAACTTGTACACCTATTAAATGGGTTATGGTCCCCAAATCAGACGTAGGATTTTCTTTCTATTATCCCATCATTGGAAAGAAGAGAACGACTTACGTGTTGGTTTGGAAGACCGCTAACCACAAGGCGACAAGTTTCATTCGTTCACATGGATTCAGGTACGCTTCCGCATCAAGTTTTTATTCTCGATGATTTGACATGATAGGCCTTGGGTAAGAGATGATGGTGTTCATCTCTAAAGTATTTTGATTCCAACAATTGGTATCAGAGTGTTATGATTTATTTGTAATTGGGATTACATTTCATTGTAGCTTTCATTTTCGAATTTGCCGTTAAAGCAGAAGCAACTGAGTTAGTAAAATCTGTTAGACAATCACGTAAGGGGCACATGGATTCCTAGAGTTAGTTGTAACTAACTTTCCCTCCCTAGATTCCCTCGCCTATATTAGTTTGAATCCTCCCTAATTGTACACGTGATTTTCACTGCTATTGATCAATAATATTTATCTCTCTATCTCTCTCTCAATACTTTCCAGTTCTTCGAGTGATTATTCAAGAGCAGTTCTTCCATTTTGCTCTTTAGGTCTTCCGATTCAATCTTCGCTTTTGGAGATTGTATCATTCGTATCAGAACTTTCCTTTCCTTGGATCTGTGAGGGGAAATGGGTGAGCATAATACGAGAATTCAGGAGTTACACAGAGATCTCGATGGGCTTCGTAGATCCTTCGATGGTATTAGTGGTAATATGGAGGAATTGAGGAAGACTGTAGATGAGAAGTTGGCGGCATCTATGGAGAAATTTAGAAGGATCTTACTAACGACTGTTGATAATCAAAGGCCAATAGATGAAATCCTAATAGACCGGGAGCAAGAGGGGTTGAAGATGAAGAAGTTGCCCCTGAAGTTGCTAGGGC